AATACGAGGTTTAGTGCCCAAGACGCTAGGATATGCGGATCTAGTATTTGGATTCGTTTCGAGGATGTGATACTCCCGTAGTAGTGCTACCTTCAGCCATCCTCACAGGGTGTTAACACTATCCCACCCACTTCGAGTATATCGTTTACTACAGCACCTTTCTTTGGGAGGCTTGATATTGCTACTTTCATGTATTTCACCGTTTAGGTAGGCTTTGATCTACAACCTATCAAGAGGAGTATATAATATCATAGGATGATGATCGAATACCCCCATAATTAAGGAACCCCAAGCCCTCCTAAAGACCCCATGGGAGTATGAGATCATGCATCCATTGTAGCTCGATTGAAGCAGCTTGGACAGGACGTATCGATCCACTATGTCCTCATCATCATAGAGTCTCTCTTATTACCTTCTCTAGTAAGATATATGTAGCTAGGTATCCATAGGTGGTACAAACCAATGCTAGGTGGATGGCGCCTCTCCGCCCTTATCGACCGCCGCGCATGGGGGAGGGGTCCCCATATGCGCGTTTATTTTTTACCTTTAGGAGCTCCCATCAAAAATGTGTAACTGCGGAGCCGATTTCGCGATCTAGCCTATAAATCCCACAAATTCCTTCACCAATCGACAGATCTCGATCTCCTGAACATCGCTGTGAAGCCGGATTTGGGATTTATAGGCTCAATAAAAAGTTATTAACGTTTTAGTTTTCATCGGTTCCATGTGAACCATGTTGCACAAGCAACTTCTTCTTCAACAGTCCTTCTAGTCTGGCAGGTTAAGGGCGTGCGCTATCACTCGAGACACCCAGGTTCGAATCCCGGTGAGATTATATTGCGGAATAAGGTTCAGCACTCGGAGTAGGGCAGCGACTTGGGTGGCACAGCGGTCAGTAGTGTACTAGTGAGAAGGACAATGCCCTCTGGGCTCTGGGTAGGCTGTAAGTCCATGCTCAGTGCTACCAAGCAGCACTCAACTTCCGGCTGGCGACTCGTACAGTTTTAGTATATATAGTAAGTTTGGTATAATGGATAGTGTGACGGGTTGTCACTTAAGTGATCCAGGTTCGAATCTGAGTAATTACATTTTTTCATTTCATCGCAATAGGGATAGATCGTATATGTTTGGTTCAGTCTCATTGAAAAGTGTCATGCTCTGCCATGCGGTTGACCTATATCCGACCTCTGACAGTTAATACTCGTACTAAGTACTGCTGGTAATATGCAGCACAAGGTCTTCGACTGTGATTTAACTAACCACCACGGTGTACGGTACTAGAGACTGGCGACCCTCGACGAAACACTTTCATCCAAGCAAGGTATTACTCTAGTGGTTATTCAGTCCGACTCTCATCCTAAAGGTCGCAGGTTCGAACTACGACGGGTCCGTGCGGGGTCCCCACTTCAGTGGGGTGCACGGACCAATCAACCCTGCAAAGTCGAACCCCCTCAAAGCAATGCAAAGTAACGCGCGCGAGCGCATCAGAGAGTAGAGTAGCACTCTAATCTACATCGGAAAACCCAGACCAGTGCGCACGGCTAACAGTGCGCACTCAAGCCAGTGGTACTGGTTCAACACCAAACTAATAGCACTAGTGGGTCACTAACAGAATGTGTCAGGCAGGACCATGGCGGAGTACAACCTCAAGTCTGCCACAGCGTGGCAGGTACACTAGCAACTGGCACCGCAGGTGACAGGATCAACCAGCACACCGCTAGGTGGATGGAGCGCTCCTCCCTTTTCGCCTCTTTTTGCGCGCTGGGGGAGGGGCCCCGGGCGCGCGCATTATAGCCGGTAGGGAACTCACAGCAAAAGTGATAGATCCGGAAGCCGATTTCGTTAATGACAGTAAGGATTGCCCTGAAAATGGGTGCAATCGACTCCTCTCGTCGAGCTGAGTAATAATATGAAAGAATTTTTCAAATGTTATGAGCCGTTTACGAGAAATAACCGATTTAGTCTTTTTCCATTCAATGGAGGGAGGCATGACATGGGAGTACTGTATCAACAATCAGTCTAGTCCAGCAGGTAATGGGCGTGCGCTGTCACACGGGAGACCCAAGTTCGAATCTGGGTTGAGGTATATTCCGGAATAAATCCCCGTACTCAGAGTAGGTCAGTGGGTTGGGTGTTACAGCGATAAGTGCAACGGCAATCAGTAGGATAGTGTCCGTGGGGTCGCGGATGACCACCCACCAGTGTACAAGTAGGTCTGAACTAGTCTGAGCATCAAGCGTTATTATTGAAGCATCATATTTTATATAGGTAGTTTGGTCTAATGGTTAGTCTTCAGGTTGGTCATACGGATGATCCAGGTTCGAATCCTGGATATATAAATTTTATAATTTTGTCAGTGATGGTTGTCCAGCCACTCTATTGAGTAGTATTGTTTGTACTTGGCTCAGTGTAGTGCTCAGCATCATTATCTATGTCGACTCCAGGTAGTGGGCTTATCTAACATTGCATAGCACATTAGAGCCTGACGACTTCCAATGAACAACAATAAATTGAACTCGACGATAGTGTAGTGGTTAGTACTCATGTCTCTCATTCCCGAGATCTAAGGTTCGAATCCCAGAAGGTCCGTGCGGGGCCCCACGCCAGTGGGGTGCACGGACCCCTCAGTGCCTACAGCCTTGCGATTCCCCTCCGTAAGCTCCAAGTAACGCGCGACAGCGCAACCAGCTGCAGTACCCTGAGCAACCGACACGACACAGCTGACACTGCGCAACCATCGGGAATAATACGGCCGATGGTTGCGAGGACAACACCGACAAGGAGGACTAGCCAGCACTAATGACGAGTCTCACAATAGCGTACCACAATCTGAAAAGTCGGGCTGCTAGCATGGTGCCAACGCAGTGCACCGATCAGGCACCACACCGGTGCTAGGTGGACATCAGCAGGATGATAGTATACCCTCAAAAGCCATATCGAGTATCATTGGTACTTCCTACAGGGGCCGTATTAGGACAAATGTTGAATACCATGTTGCATCCCTCTACCCCTCCCACCCATCACTACCTACGTACATTAATCGTCATAATCATCTGTATATCCACTCCTGACAACTTTCTACCTAGTAAGACTTGTATGGTAGTGCTCATCTGATTCCCATCTTTAGATATATTCTACCATAATGCTGTCTGAAGTGACGGAGTCTTACTGGTGCGGGCACGAGCAATCCATGTGAAAATCGCATCATAAAAGGAAATTTTCCATTTTTTTGCATCGCTCCGCTGTAAAGAGCATTATGTGCGTTTCTTGAGTAGACTTGTACAAGCAGCTTGTTGTTAGTTTGTAGTTACTATGACGGATTCATCGCTATCACCGTCAGTGAGGATGCCCCCTAATTATGGCAACCTTCCTCGTGGAGGTGGAGGAGTACCTACGGTGAGTACTAGTGATTACGAACATTATACCATAGTCGTCTCTGCCTGCTGCCTTAGACTGGTGACCCTAGTGAAGCCAGTAGGCTCCTGGATGGATGCCATCAGATCATGGTTGCTATGTCTAGTCCTTCTATATTCGAAAACTCTAAGGAGAAGGCATTTCAGGTAGGGTTGGGATCATAAGGGGGTATTGAGATTAGTACTATCAGACCTTTCGTAGAGGATGTCTTGACTTGAAGAAGGATGTCTCTGCTACTGAGGGGCTTGAAAGCGATAAGATAGATGGTAATAATGATGATTATATAATATATATAATGCTAATGATATCATCAGATTGGATGATTGAGAATTGTTGGTTATTCCTATTCGAACTTGCCAAAGCACGACTAAGGAGGAAGCATGTTTTGGAGTGTATGGAGATACTATGTACTAGTGATAAATGGAGGCATGTAATAATACCTCTCATGTCACTCCCCCTACCGCATTGAGTAGATGCTGGATGATAACGAAAGGATACGCGCTAAAATGGTAGACTTGGACGAAGCATTCATCCAATCAATAGTGACGGAATTCCACGTGAAGCCCTTCCCAGCCAAAGCAGCGCCTGTTAAACCCAAACGTAAGCTCTCATCTTTATACTCCTCGTAATAAAGGCCTATATACAGCCACAAGTAGCCTACTCAATCGACGTAACAGATCCAACAATCGTCAGACAAACCACTCTAAGTGGGAGACTGGATCCGTTAGTGGTAGTAGGACCTACACCTCTAGTCATGAATACATCCGAGCACCTTTTAGGGAAGATAACAACAACATCATCAGCAACAAGTGCTCCTCCCCCTTTACAACGAGGCAGGAGTGCTAGTCTGGGTGCCCTAGATGTAATTTGATTCCCTATTCATTATCATCAATATCATCGTATTCAGATAAGTGAGCCTAGTGGAGGTGATTCCAGAGATGGTGAGTAGGTTAGGGTTCTCCTCACATTCATGCACACCTATCAGATAGTGTAAAGAGGAGCCCTATACCATCCAATATACATGATGATGCTGAATCCTCCCATGGGTCATGGTCAATTGAGGAGGTAGAAGAAGGTGATCTCAACAACAACAACAACAATCAAGGTAGTAGTATCGTTAGTAGTAGAAGACTTGGTCATGTCCTCTCAGCAGCAGCAGCAGCATCGCCTCCATCACCACCACTACCACCCCAGTCTCCAGATCTCCATGGAAGGCCTCGATTACAGAGTAGGACATCAGTGATCATCATTGATAAGACGAGGAGAGGCAGTGCTGGTTCCTCATCAAAAGGGCATAGTACTGTTAGAGGAGGAGGAGATGATTCACCAGGAGTAGCTCATCTGGATAGTCCTAAGCTGGATACCAACCCTTTCCGAAATCCTAAGCTATTCGAGGATGCAAATGACGGTATCACTGATGATGATACAGTTAGCGTAGATGAATGGTGGAATAATCCAGGAACATCTAGGCATCCCTCATCCCCTCACGAGCAGCACAAGAGTAATGGCCTTAGTAAGTACTACTACTATTTCATGGGCGCTAGTACCGTAGATGGTTTCAGGGGAACCGGAGAGTAGTACGACCGAACCTCATGCATCACCACAAGAGGTGGAGATGTTATATAAACAACAAGAGATGATACTTAATCAACAAGAGCAGTTATTCAAAGCCATACAGCTACTCACACTGGATCAGGGATCAACGACCACGGCACAGGGATATACTCAGCACTAGGTAGTAGGTTGTAGTATTTGGGTAGGCAAGGATGATAAGTATACACTAGTTGATGATCTCAGATAGGGTACCATCAATAAGTTCCTTCATCATAATAATCATTCACAAGCATTAGAGGGATATGAGGCCTCACAGTTTTTATGCTATATTTGCCATCATCATCAATGTTTTGAGTTCTTGCTCAATAAATGGTGCTATGTTGTGTAGTAGTCTATGAATACCCACACCAGCAGCAACAGCCCTTTTCTTCCTCCTCTTCCTTCAACATCAACAACACCAGGCAGCAACGTAGTAGTGAAGGGTACTACATCTCAACCCTTTATATCATCAGCAGCGTGTATACGTACAGAGAGGCTATACAGGGTTATATGCAGGAGACTAGGACATAGGGATGTTGATCATGCTATTGCCAGGGATCTTAGGACTAATGGTGCACTCGTGGTGGATCTTGATCTTGCTAATCGAGACATTCTATATTCCATAGTAGGGCTCTTAAAAGAGGCACCTACTATATATCAATTATTACTATACTCTGGTACATACTTCTTTGGTCATCAACCGGCATATAAAGATCAAGTTAGGAGTAGGAGGAGGCGATTGAAGTAGTAGTAATGGTATAGGGTAGATAGAAGTATTAGTGAGTAGGTATACTATACTTACCGAGACTGATCTAGTTCGTCAGCTAGTGCAGTCATTGTCTACTTATCTACAATCTACTAAATTGGTCAATAATGTATTGGTTATAGATCTCACTGGAGTACCATTGAAACCTGTATCATCATCATCATCAAGAGCTTCTAATACTACTAATGCTGCCTTGGGCTTATCAGGAGTACTACGAACAGCTGTATGGAAGAGTAGTGGCCCTCTAGAAGATCTTATACAAGGACTTAAATGCTGTAGAAGACTACAGAAGTTATCCCTGGCTAATTGTCAACTCACTGATACAGGCTTACAGTTGCTTGCTCCCATCGTGGGGAAGGAACTACCCCGACTCACTAGTCTATGCCTTGCTAAGAACAGGTTGATGAGACCAGCTAGGGCCCTAAGGACCATATTCAATATGCGTAGTGTACTAGTGGGTAATAAGAAGTCTATCCCACTAAGCTCACTGGATCTAGGGAGGAACCCTCTTGGTTGTGGAGTATCACCTGACTTTAATAGGCTTGAAGCAGCATTGGTTGTATGTTGCGGCCTTGGGTCTGGGGAAGCCATGCAGGCTGGAGGAGGTCTGCAGACCTTGGCATTGAATGGTTGCCGACTTGAAAGGATTGATGGTATAATTAGAGCCTTACAGGAAACGATACAGCGAGGGGAAGAGAAGGAGAATGGTAATGTTTGGCCAGTCTTTATCATCAATACTCTTAGCAGGAGCTCCTTATTATTCACTGCCTCGAATACGTGATATTAATATCAGTAATAACCCCTCATTGCCAGAAGTGAGTACTCCGCCCAGCATTACTCCTACTGTATGCTAATAGGGTACTCAATCTACACTCAATACCCTATTGTCAAGCCTAGCCCAACTCAGAGGAGATCTTGTGTATCATCATGATGACCACCCTATAGAGGAGTTTACTGAGTAATGCTGCTCCATATATACTGAGTGGGTACTTGGAGGGCCCATAGGTCTATTCACAAGCATACGACAAGGTTCGGTAAGAATACTACGTCTCGGAGGAGGACTAGGAGTCTATCTAGCATTGATGACGATAATGATCATCATGATGATGCCACATTAGAGGCCTTACAGGAGTATGCTGCTACTGACTATCTATTCCTACTACTACTACTACTATCACCCTATTAGGTACTTCCCTGTAGTGAGAGATGCTATTAGTGACGGAGACTCTTATGATGGAGATCGAGGAGAGGAGGCTACCCCTTCAGGAGTGTATGCCAGGGATCTCAAGTCAGACTTAATCACACACCTTCATACCATAACTCAACTAATCGATACCAAGTAGTAGTAGACTACCACCTCAGCGTCCTATAGGGCTACAGGTATCCACCTCGACGACAGGCAGGGCCAACAGTGATTGCTAAGGTCAATGCTGCACCACATTCTGGCATGCTCATACCTTATGACCCTAGTACTAGAGGCATGCAGGATATCATGAATGCTAGTTGTGTAGAGGGGAGCTCTCACATCGGCCAAGGAGTAACAACGAATGACACCCTATCATCATCATCAGCCGACGTGGTAGTGATGGTAGGAGATGAGGAAGAGGAGGAGAGTATACCTATAATATCTTGAAGTTGTTGTTGACGAATGATGAGTCCAATACCATGATGATAATTAGATACATTTCCGTATATTCGTCTTGTGTGATAGCTGCTCAACTCAATAATTGTAGTAGTAGCAGTAGTAATGAGCTCATCCCCTCCACCTAGTTCTATAGACACATCTAACCTCACTATAGAAGGTCCACCACCTTTAGCTACTCCTAAGGGGAGTACTCTACCAAAGATGAAGGGATCACTATTATGGTCACCATCAGCAGTATGGCCATGGACGGTGAGTACTACTATAACCATAACCTACATATACAGGAACCTCATCCAGGCCTCATCATTTGATTCTACGTCACTCCGTTCACCACCACCACCGTTATATAGTAGTAGTGATGAGGAAGACGAGGAGGAGGAGGAATACAGTAGTAGTAATAGCAGTAGTAGTCCTGCATCCACGAGACGGAGGATGAGGAGAAGGAGGAGGAGCAGAGTCCAGTATCATACAAGAGATCCTCAAGTAGCTGCTGCAGCAGCACCCTCCCCTCATACTCGCCTACTACTCAGAGATACTCGTGATAGGGTAAGAATGCAAGCAGCAGCCTCAATACTGAGCTCTCTGTTAGATAACATCCGACTACATGTTACTCCTCCGAGCATCTGTGAATGGTGGTTCCCTCCCACCATTAGTATTGAGTTCTGGTCTATCTCGTGATCCAGTAGTAAAGACATCACGATCATGGAGAGTAGAGGCACAACATGATACAGCTATACAGAAGACATTAGATTGTATGAGGATACGACAGGCTGAGTATCATAGGAAGTTAGAAGCCGCGATAATGGCAAAATCAGAGCAGCATGGTCACGATAAGACTTGTGAGAAGTTGACTAACCTTTTAAGGCAACTACAAGGGCTAAGCGATAAAGTAGGGGAGGCGAGCGCGATGATCGAACAGAGGTGGAGGGGACGTATAGCTTGGCAACGGCAGAAGAGGGTTGATGCTGCTCTAGCAAAGGCTGCTAGAAAGAGGAAGTTAGCATTCCAGAAAGGGGGCATACTTCAACGTGATACCCATGATAGCTTGTTGACTAGTGTGGAGGAGGAGGAGGAGGAGGTAGAGGATATGAATACCTCTATAGAGAGTAATGATGGAGGACTATTGTTCACGAAGGAGCTGCCAGAGGATACCAACCCTTCATTATTGGTCCTATCGGGTAGTACTCTATCTACATCCTTACGCTTGGTCATAGCTCTTCTCCTACTATTTTAGAGGACCATTGGAGCTATTTCGAACAGTATCTACGGTTGGATACGATTGATGTACTTCCTAAAGGGGATATGAAGAGGAAGGTAAAGCATGGTGACACCCTCGTCCAATACATCCTTCCTATAGAGAGCTCTACTAGCCCGATGTCTTATGGACTTACATACTAGAGCTAAGCTGGATATACAAAAGGTTGGAGGGTGTAGTGAGGCACTATTGATGCTTATTGAGGAGGAGTCTTCACTTGATGAGGACCCTCACCAGGAAGAGGAGGAGGAGGACATCACCACATACTATGATGAAGGTGAGCCTACCATGATCATCTTAATGCTACATCAATCTGTTTGCATCTGTAGAGCATCAAGTACTTGCTAAGTATAGAGAGGTCCTTGATCTGGCGGCTCAACGTATGCACATACTCCTATGTACGATGAAGGCTTTGATGTGGGAGAAGGGTCTGAGGCGATACCAACGGGGTAACACAAGGTACCATACCACAACAGCTTCAACACGTTCATCATCATAACACATAGGAATGTCATGGTCTCATCATTCGAAGAGGATACGGCTCAATGGTTCGACTCGGAGTTGGAAGTCGCCAAGCTATCTGCCCAGGAGTATTCTCATCTTTGTGTGGATCATGTAGTACTGTCATAATCATAATAATAATCATTGTCATACCACTCCTCCAATACATCTATCTCTAGATACGTGAATTACTCTCATCAGTCGACACCTACCAGAATGATGCTTCTACTACTAACCTCTTAGCTGAGGTTGAGTCGGCAGTCGAGGCCTATAGGCATCGTCTAACAGCCTTATCAGAGTTCCTTACCTACTCAGAGGCTCCAGTGGGATCAGAAGGTCTCCCTGTATTGTGGCTCCTTCATGAGCTTGAACAACTCCGTCGTAATAGTAGTAGTGGTTCGAGGCAGATTCGTGAACATCTAGGGGAAGATATCGATAGAGCATGTGCATTAGTACGATTAATACTACTCACTAGACCCTCTGGTGAATACTATGATGAGGAGTTGATGAGTAGTAATAGTAGGATGAAGGGTACACCAAGTTGTATCGATGATAAAGCTCATAGTGGTAGTATTATTATTCATAACGATAAGGAGAACTGGAATATGGATAATAATATAATTGCATCCTAGTAGTAGTCTACATGATCAGTGTAGCTATTCTCTAATTAATAATACCATTTATCATCATCTTTAGCAACATTTCCTCCCACTGCTACTCCTATGCTCAGTTGACTACTAGTTTCAGTAGATCATCATCATAATACTTCGCAACAGTACCCTCTGCATGTAGTATCATATCCGTCAATATAGATGACGACATCCTCCAAACCCCCTCTGTTGTGTTCTTTCATCACCATCACCATCATAACCTCAGATTGGTTGTCCCTACTGGTGGTGGTAGTAGTATGGCATCCAGACCACCGATAGTAGTAGGGTCATCAGGTCTTGGTCAACCTCTAACCCATGTTGATATCGATGAAATAGACAGGATACAGCAGGAAGAGATCAATGCTGGGTACTCATCATCACCATTACTGTCATCATCATGCTGCTTATTTAGGCATTATAGTGGAGGCCTCCTTCTTACATCAAAACAACGGCAGACTATGAACGCCTCGAGACCCTGGGAACAGGTTGTGACCGATGAACAGGGCAGAAGACGTTTCCATGGTGCATTTACTGGAGGCTTTAGTGCTGGGTAGTACGATCATCATCATCATAAGGCTTGTTACTCATGATATAAGATACTTCAATACAGTGGGGACGGAGGAAGGTTGGACACCTTCAACCTTCGTGAGCAGTAGACGTAGTAAGAAGGACCGTACTGGTAGGGAAGAGGAAGAGGAGGAGGAGAAGCATGATGGTAGCAGTAGTAGTACGAAGCAAGAACGGCATCAGAGGGTAGTAGTAATATTTGAGATGCTTACTTATACTAGCAGCTCTCTCTACTAGATATCGGACTTCATGGACGAGGAGGATTACAATGACGGTATTGGTGGCAATGTTATTGGTAGTACTACTGTGACGACCACTCATCATGGAGGGGAGTCTTCTTCTACTACGAGACTATTTAATGACAACTCTCCAGTAGAAGTCAGAGAGCGGGTAAGAGTTGTTGTACTCCTGTTGTTGTTGATGAACCTTGGTATCAGATTGGTCTTGCTATCATGAGGAGTCAGGGTTGGAGGGAGGGTATGCTAGTTGGGGAAATATCTCGACTATTCACTCGCCGTCCCTCGGTTATTGATAAGGAGGCTAATGAGGGTAGTAGGAAGCGAAAGTAATCCTCACGATAACATCTAAAGTATTAACCTCCAATATCAGGGTATACACTGTATGCTCCCTACCTCCTCATTTACGATCTAGTCTTGATGATGATGAGGAGGAGAGAGATGAGAAGGAGGAGGAAGCAGAGCATCGCAACATACAGGCACTGTATAGATGTGTCGATAGGAGTGTACACAATCATAAGAACGATATGCACGGTGTCGGGTAGTAGTATTGACATCTATCAATACTTGTAATGCTTAGTGGTGTAGGTATAGTGGAGAACTGAAGGTTAGTGGGGTATCCACTGGAGCTAATGAGCTCCTATCATCGATATTCGGTCCTTCCAATAGTGAGGGAGGACCTACCACTCAATCTACCATACACCATCGTCGTGATGGTAGTAGTAGTAGCAGTCGACAGCAGCAAGGACGAGGAGAACGTGATAAGCGATCTACTCAAGCTGTAGGTGCATTTGGTATAGGTAATAGGAGGTTGAAGGGGATATATGAGGGTAGAGATGGTTATGTAGGTGTATTCGACCAGGAAGAGGGAGGAGATGGGTATGATGTTGAAGTATATAATGAGTATGATAATAGTAGTCTACCCAATAGAGGAGGGACCTCACGGTATGCTACAACTGTTGTGGAGATAGATGATGATGATGATACACTGATTGGGGACAGGGGTCATCATAGCGCTGAGGTAGGCTTCTCCTACTACCCTTGACGTGATGATGACCATGTGTGGTCAGGTTATCAATCTCATTGATGATGAGGATCATAAAGGATCGAGGGGGCTGCCTCAGCGATGTACAAAAAGAGTTGAGAGTAGTAGTGAGAGTCACACTCTAGATGGGATGTTTACCAATGTAGTACCTTGAATAGTGTGATGTATTGATATTGATGCTATGGTAGGTGGTAGAGGAGGAAGGGGATACATGCTCTACCTCTGAGGATGTTATACTCTCACTATCCAACATCATTCCTAAACCCCCACGAGTACCTAGAGGATTCAATAAGCATCTTCATGTACAGGTGCTGCTGTAGAGAGAGCATAGAATAGTGATATCATCAGGTATCCGGCCCTAGCAGTGATGGAGATGTATTAAGGGATACCTCTCCAGAATATCAACGTCTAGTTGAGTGGTTGGATAGTAATCCAACCGTGCGAGAGGGAGCTATTACTATGACCGAGAGAACGAGCATCATATCTGCTGAACCTATCACTCGAGCCCCCGATCATCCCACGAAGACTAGCCATACCTCGGTAGGCTTATATCATACTACTACGACTATTCATTCTTCTTATGTAGGAGGCTAATACCAAGCAGAAGGAAGGAGAGTCAAGGGAGGGTAAAGCACTATGGGCAGGTGTTAATGACGACGTAGGCTGTTAGTGGTGTGTATCAGAGATCGTTATAATGGTCTTCAGGTACGGCGGGAGGCCTTACTTGCAGCAGTGGGTGGTCGGACTATCAGTATGCATAAGGCATCATCATCATCCTCATCATCTCATGACACATCACGTCCTTCGTTGGAGGCTCTTAATAGGGATCCTGATAAACGTAGACGGTATGAGGTGTTCTGTGCCCAAATGGCGAGCGGTGCTCCAACATTATCAGCCAACAGTGAGTATCTCTCAGCCTTAGTCTCGGCCTTTGTCGTCTCGAGGATTATCCTCTTAGATAAAGTTGACTTTAATGAACTCAAAGAGTTTACCAAGCTATATGAGTACAGTCGTGAAGAAGGTTCAACTCTCGATGTTACCAATACTCAAGGAAAGGATAGTAAATCGACGAGAAGGAAAGCCTCTCCAGAGGAGATTGCCGAGGCTCTGAGGAAACTCCAACCATCTCGGTTAGAGTGTAACTGGAGAGCAGAGCCTCTAGTTTGTAATATACTTACAGATAGAGGGAAGAATGGCACATGTGCGCAGGTAAACGTTTCGGGTGTCCGGATCCATGGCGACACAAGAAGTTCTATGACGACTCTGATATTCTAAGTCTGGGGAAGAAGTCCCGTTGGGCAGGAGGAGATCGCCAATCCCGTTATAATCGTAATACATCACGTCCTATAGCGCCGCCGTCAGGTAAGTGTACAATACCTTCTAGAGGTCCCTCATCATCACAATCAGGGCACCTTCGAGCGTCTCCATCGGAAAAACCAGTGGAGTCGCCCCAACCTCGAGTAGAGCTCCCTCCCGAACTTCCTTTGCCGATGACACCTTCCAAGAGGCCTCCTGACGATTTATTTACTGATATCTTTGGCGGTTGATACCCTTGTCTAGCTATCGTGTGTTGTAGAGTTCTGAAGTTAGGAATATGCTTTTGCAACCCTCCAGAATAACCTCCTCTAATTGGCCATACTACTTCACATGATTTTGTGAATGATCACTGTGAAGTTGTCCTTAGCCCATAAAAACCCGCCTAGGCCTAGCATCTCAAAAGAGTCGTTGAATGTAATGTGTCTATGAAGCTCGATGGGGATTTGCATTGTATGTACAAGCTCGTGTGATGGACCTCACCTTCCACAGGCATCTCGAGTATTGTCCAAGTGCAGGAATTAGTGAATGTGCTGCGGATAATGATGGCTCGCGGAGAACTTGAGAACACAACAGATGATTATTCTTCAGGGAAAGTCATCTTTCATGCAGCTCACAAACTGTTGTCAACATCGTCGTCATCATCTATAGAATGTTGTTCAGGCGTCGAAAATTCCGTGAAACCAGAAGCCAATTAAAGCGCATAGCCCCTCCGAGCTCCAAGTATAAGAATCCGAGATCCAACTTGGAAACTTTTTTCTTAGTTCCCATGTATCGAAGTGTATTAGAAGTACGAGCGCGTTTCCTCATAATAGTGCCGAGTTGCAAATCGCATTCGGACTTGGATTTCACCAAGCACTCGAAATGAACGCAATCTTAGTAATCATTTTGATCTCACGTGACAAACTGACACTCCAGAAACATAGAGAGTGTGATAGGTGATGATGATGCAATGGTTTTTGATAGCGATGATAGTGATAATGAAATAGGTGACGTTTAATAATTTTAAATTGATAATTTTGTACATGAAAGATGAGCATAAGTTGTTGTGCTAATATGGTTCTGAAGTGAGTCCCTGCAACATTTATGACTCTCTCCATCTGGGCTCCATAAAAAATTGAAAACTACCCAACGTTCCCTTCATGTGATCTTTTCGAATATGGGATAGTCTTACATGATGAAATCAGCGTGATCATTTCTGAATCTTAAAGGGTACTCAAGATATATATGATGCCATGTAACTTGAGTATGTTCTAAGGTTGCGCCGTTACTCTTATAAAACCGTGCTACTCGGAGCTCGGATCACTCACACACTAATGTGAATCTCCGAGAACAGATATATCGAGGCGGAATCTACAAGTCCGAGTGTTTCTCCGAGTATTTGGGCTCGCTATCCGCAACCTCCTCTTCGTGATATCATGTACTACACAATTGCTACTTGACCGAAAACCAACATCACGACGATGATGCCCGAATTGATGATGATAAACACAGAAGTAGTGATACAGAGAAGTGGAGTGAGTCGTGTATGTTGAGCAACTATCAGCGATAATGGTGAGCCATAGTATTTCGATACGTTGAATACCCAGTAGCCAGCGTCAGTAGTATAATAATCAAGCTGTTACTCGTTAGCAATGGGTTTCTTATCGGTACCCTTCTTTAACTGTTTCCTCTGTTCATCTATCTTCATTAGCTGCTCCTGCTCCTTCTGTTCCTTCATCCCCTTATATCTATTATCATTATAACAATAATGATGTAAACGGGTATGATTATTACTTCCGATAAGCCCAGAATGCACCAATCATCAACAATGGGCTACTAAGTACTATGGGTACTATCAAGAGGCCACCTATACAAGATAATCATTCAGGAATAGATACCATCATTATTACCAGATACGTATACCATAGTCTTAAGTAGTGGTATAAAATCCCTAGGCTTAGTAGAAAGTAGGGGCTTTATTGTTGATGCATAAAAGACCTTAGGGACGAATATAGCTAGTATTATCCTATCCAAAAGGAATATACCAACTGTTGATGCTAATAACATACCTAATTACACAATACCAATACCAGATATAGATTGTACTACTACTACCAAGGACGCTATTCCTAAGGTCATCAGGGAGTACCATGAGCTCTAGGAAGTGGTTAAGGACTGGTATTACACCAGATGCTAATACCTATCACGTCAATGGGAAACTCGATAATAGAGTGAGTATTACAAATAAGCCAGCACCACAGAGAAATGCTGAGAGGAATAATGCACGGTTTTCGAGATAACCTGATTATTATTATTACAATGATTATTGTATGATGATAATGATTCTAGTAGTACCTTGCATCCAGGGACGGCCCTTATAGTTGACCACTAGTACGGCTACTTGTTGTGAGCTCTTCACTAGGAACATTACTGTATTGAGGAGATTTGGCTTATATGGTACTGATCTATATGAAGGTAGTAGTAATATTATTACCACTAAATGATAAGATATTACTTGAACATTGAGAATATATCATCACCGAATGCACTATCATCCATCATCTTTGATAATTTCTCATCTCTATTCCTCTCAAACTCATATAGTTCTTCCAATGCAGCATCACCTATATATTATCAATACTACTATGACTAACTACTACTACTACTACTACTACTACTACTACTACTACTACTACCCATAGCTGTCTTCGCCAAATCCATAGCTCTAACAAGGACATATAGATGCACTGCTACTTGGGCCATCACTGATAGGAATATCGCAGGATGGAATACCGATCGTATTGGCAATACATCCGATAATCTGATCGTAATTATAATGATGATGATAGTAGTTGTTGTTAATACCTATCAGCCGGCTTGGCATAACTAAAGGCAATACTCGCCACCATTGTTAATATACCAGAGAATATCAATTGTAGCTCAGTAGCATTACCACCTTCAATGGTTCCAGCAGCTAATGTGTATCTAATAATAATTGTATATTCAATTGACTATCATTATTACTGCTACTTACGCGCTGACCATAGAATCAAGCATCATTATCTGCATCATTTGTACATTTAATAGTAATGTACATCTACCCTGCCTTATAATCTGTATAACACTCCTTATACTAGGTGCCCTTGATGTAAAGGGTGCAGCTACTGATGCATCCCCTAACTGTACTACAGGCTTCATACCTAATACTCAATACCAACCTCACAATAGGTAATAATAATAATACCCTCTTGTTGTTGTTGTCCACCAGCATCTGCATCTTGCATCTGTTTCTGAGCATTCTCAATGATAGAAGCCATCATGCCACCACCGCCTTTATTCATGCCACTCCCCCAAGCTGCATTAGCACCATACTTCTGTTGTAACTCCTTTTGTACCTATTACCATCATTATCACTGCTATGATCAACATGAGTATGACCTTAGTAAGCTCAGCTCTTAGCCTAGCTGAGGAATTCTTCATTGCTGTAAAGTAGGTAGAGAAGCCAACATTGCCTTCATTATTATTAGTAAGCTTATTAAGCTCTTCCTGGAACCATGCTTGTTGATTCTGCATCACAACCTACATGAGTACCCTATATACAATGATATAGTCCATAGTCATCATATTTACTTGTCTCCTAGCATTAAACTCAGTCTTATACTCCTTTGCTAATTGTCTCTCTCTCATAGCTAGTAGCTTTTGATCCTCTTCCAACTTATCCTCTGCTGTTCCCTCTCCTTCCAATAGCTTACCACCATCATCAGTGGCTTCTTGCTTACTCGATGATGATGTTGCATTAGAGTCACCAAAGCCCGATAAAAGGGCAACACCTAGCCAACAACATGAGCGGTTACTAATGAAAGTAGTATTACTACTTACCAACATCAGCCTGCTTTAAAGCACCAACATCATTACCACCATCACCACACATAAGAGGATGTAACATATTATCACCACTAACAGCATTCTCATTAGGGACCTTCTTAACCAACCTCACTACCTATATTATGATCTACTATTATGAGCATCATATATAGTTAGTATAGTTACCTCTTCTTTCTGTTGTGGTGATACTCTAGCAAATACCTTGATATAATGTGCTGTATTATATAGTGTCTTATCCCCCTCCTCCTCCAATTGGGTTAATACATCACCTAAGTACATAGTGTATATGAATAACACTACCTACACCTACTACCTCCAACAACGAGATCAGCACTACTAGCAAGTTGTTTCACTGCATCAACGGACGGTGTATATGTAGTATATACCTCATCAGTAGCTATATTTACCCATACTGAATAATAACTCCATCATTACTACTACTAGGTAGTTACATATTACCTCTCTCGTTAGTTAACATCAACTTAGGCTTACTACCATCATTATCAAATATACCAATCTCATTAGCAACATGTGCTGCTGTTAATGCTGAATCACCAGTCAACATTATACACGGCATCTTAGCATCAGTCAATGCCTAAGTATACAGATAGGTACTCAATCATAATACTCCTCATGTTGCTCATCACCTTAAGGACAGTAGCAGTATCTTTACGTAGATCACAAGCAAATGTGATAAAGCCAGCAAACTCAAGATCAGCTTCTACACGTGATCTTGGCCACTTATCACACTAATAGATAATAATAATAGTTGTTATTATTATTAACAACATCTTACATCAGACGATCCCTCCTTAAATGCCATTGATAATACTCTCATACCCTTCTTAGCAAGTGTACGATAAGTTGATAGATATCCATCAGGAGCATCCTTCAACATACCCAATATAGTCTCTGGTGATCCCTTTACTACACATATCTAACATCAATACCACTATAATCACTATCTCCACTACTACTTATCACCTTCTTATGCTGCTCATTAATAAGCTCAATTACAGCACTCATACGCTGTAATGCAGAGGAGAAATGATGCCGTGTGAGAATCTTGAGCTTAGGGGTCATCTTATTACCACTACTCATTGGACCTACGAATAATGATAATAATAATATAATACCTATTACTGTAGCCTTACTACCAGAAGTATTATTATCACTATCATAAAACCAATGTAAAGCTTGTAATCCAGCCAACTCTACTGGATCTCCCAATAGTTCCGCACTACTCTTACTAACCCCTGATTGTTCTTCCTTATTGGTCTTATTCTTCTTCTTGTTGTTGTTGTTGATAGATATAAGAGAATGACATCCAGCAATAACATATTTAGCCCCTAGACCTATACGAGTAGTATCCTAAAGATACTAATGCATATGTATGATACTGACAACAGGTACAGTATAGTACAGTATTAAGCTTATCTGCATCCTCTACTTTAGGTTCACTATCACTTGTTGATACCTACCATAATTATGATAACAATGATGATAATAACTACTAGTATTCCTAGTACCTTTGTTACAACCCCTGTACATGATAATTGATCAGTTGTAAGTGTACCAGTCTTATCAAAGAAACAATGTGTGATAGTACCAGCCATAGGAACTCTATAAGGCTCTGTACAGAATACTCCTATCTTATGTAATGCCATTAAAGCTGTATTCACGGCTAACGACATCTGCATAGGTAATTCTGGTGGTACCTGGTCAACAATACTAGTAAGATGAATAGTGATGATAATGATGGTAATATTACAACACTAGTGATAATCATAACACATCTTAGTAGTAGCTTATAGCCTGACATCTTAGTCAACTTATCAGTACCTAATACATCATTAACGAGATCCCTACTACTACTACTACTACTACTACTACTACTACTACTACTACTACTACTACTACCTTCACCAGATATCCTCTGATTGATAACATAACCAACAGCCATCAATGCGAATGATAGTAATAGTAATAGTAGCTTAAGTGTATCCCTATTATCAGTCCTGAGTATAATGATCAATAATATATGACACTAGTAATACTACTTACCTAACATCTTGTTGAGAGAATTCAATCATCCTAGTAAGCTCTCCTTGAGCTGATTGTGTCCCTGTTCTTAATACTATACATGTACAATTAGTGGCTTGTAATAATGATGTACCACTGAATAGTATATGTATCCTATCTCTACCAGTCATATCCAATATTCTAGATATATCATCATCATCACTAGTATCAATCTCATCCTTCAATTGTGGTACAGATTCCCCAGTTAATGATGCCTCATTAACAACAGCATTGCCTTGTAATATAAGGCAATCACACGGTATCATAACAACCTGTTCTCCTCTATTATTAGTAGTATCTATATATTATCAATACTACCAACAGCAACAGTATCAGCAGCAGACTATCAGAGTGATTACCAGGTAAGGAGTCTTTATCAGTTGTAGCATGAATAACATCATTACTAAGGTTAATACGATCTCCAGGAACAAGTTGATCCGACATAATACTCATCCATTTACCATCTCTTAATACAGATATCTACCATAAATCCTAGTCATACCTTCTATCCAGTAGTAGTGCTTCTTATTATTATTACCGGTATTATGTTTTTACCAGCCATATTCCTCAATGTTAATAAATTACGCCTTCTTTGGAATACAGTACCAGCTTCCATACCAAAGATCGATAAAAAGGTGAAGATAGTATATTTCCTAAGGACAAGAATGATAAAACCATATGATGACAATAAGAGCAGTAATACTTACCAATACTCATCCATCATCCATAGTAGACAACATAATATCTGGAATATAGGTATTGGGTTTAATATCTGATAACATCACTCGTAATAAAGATAATAACTAGTATGAATAACCTGATCTCTGTAAAGAACATAGAAAGGTGGTACTGGTATGTCGACTTTATTAAGACCATATAAATCCTGTCTACGTTGGACTTCGTCCTCTGATAACCCTTTCGTCGAGGAAGTCTCATCTACACCACATACATATCAACAACTATAGTGTGAAGAGTACTATTACTAGTATATTTATGAATAGGTAGATTCATTGGACAGATGAGCATATGCACCTCCCCAGTAGTATCATCTACACAGTATTTACGTCTTTGGAATACAAAGTACCTAAATTCCTATTCATGACTAGAAGACTATCACCATTATTATTACAATGTAAAGTCGGCATTATGATGACTCCTTTTGAGAGGTACTATATCAGCCTTCCCTTGATGTTCCGGAGGTGTACTAAGAATATCTACTACTTACATAAGAGTAACCTTATAGTATTACACTCGACAGTAGTTCCCAGGTGCCAAACGCTTAGTCCTACTATATTGGACTAAGGTCTTGAATCGTATAGACCAATGTTGAGCTAATACAAACAGTGCATGTACCTGATCATGGTATACTACTACCTACTACTACTTAGTATTACCAATAAGGATCCAACAATGGCTAAAGCTGCTGTAGGGGATGGTGCCCATTGAGATGGTAAAGGCCTCTCTTCAGTAGATTCTAGTGTAGATAATTCCAATACAGTACCATTATTGATAGCATCCTGTATAAGCTCATCAACTACTGCCTTATAAGGATCACCACTAGTAGCAAATACTCTCATTGCGGCTATACCATGTAGTATAATAAATATAGCAGTAAGAGCAGTAGCTTTGGGAGATACACGTTTCAATAGGGTAACTTCTTTTAGACCACCATCACTACACTCTAGATGAGATGATGATAGTGTATTGGGCATGTCTACTGCTATCAACAAACAACAACAACAACAACAACAACTGCAGCAACAATGCAGCAACAACAAACGTCCCTATCCATTGATACTCGATGGGGACGACGAAGCAGCTCCTAGATTCGAGTAGCGCACGCCATTCTGATCGACAAGGTTAATGTTGTGGTTGTTGTTATTGCTGTTGTTGTAGTTGTTGGGTTCATGGTGGTAGACTGTACATTACCTCCTAGTGAAGAAGAAGGTAGTATCTTGAGTATGTAATCGGCTAGAGTAGTCATGTTTTTCAGTGGGTATTAGCCTTTATCTGGATGATAGTAATGGGGACCATATTAGTCTACCTTGTCTGTTCAAACATCGATTCCAAGACTTTCATGTGTAATACTACCATCTTGGTCTTGTTGTTATGATGATATGTAGATATGAGATACCACAAGGATCATCATCATCATCACCAGTACACCTTACCAAACTATGGACCAAGGATAAGATTATACGAGAGATAAGGGAGAAGAAGGAGAAGGAGGAAGATCTACAGAATGCATTGTAATACTACACTTAGTGATAGTTATGATCATTACTGATACTAGGGGACCAGAATATGATATTACTGATAAGCAACTACAGGCTATTGAGGCTAGTTTAACAGAAGAGGATAAAGATAGGTTTATCTCATTCCTGAAGACCCCAAGAAATGGTAATACACTCATCATCATTATCATCATGATGGGAACTCTTTATCCAAGATACTGCTCCTAAGTACTGCTTGTTAGATGGTAGCACTATACAGGATAAGCTAGGGAGGACTAGTGTCCATGAGTAGTATTATCAATTATTAGAAGTTACTATCATCATTATATACTTAGATTAGTTAAAACACAGTTCCCTCAAGGCTTGTTTATTACTGATACTGTTGATCCCACTACTGATAATGATAATAAACATCAAATTAGGGTTTGGATCAAGAAGGACTTTACAATTGGTCAAAAGTAAGTAGTACCTGAATTTGTACTACTATCAGTGAGGTTTTATATTAGACGAGCTAGAGAGCTGGCAGCAGCAGTAGAGGAGGAGAAGGAGGAGGAGGTGGTGGGTAGTAAGAGTAAGAAGAGGCGTCGTCGTGATGGGAAGAGAGGGAGAAATAAGGGTAGAGGAATAAGTGGCGATCAACATCAACATGATGAAGACTTACCCCAAGCACGTTATGATCCCTGGCCTAAAGACCAACCTGATTATCTATACTTTAACATGTATAAGGAGAATAGGGATACAGCTCAGGCAATATCATCTATAGCTAGAGCAATGGGAAAGAAGAATACTAAGGCTTTTACAGTAGCAGGAACTAAGGTACACTACTACTACTTTTACATGATGATGATTATAGTGTATATATAGGATCGTAGAGGATGTACTGTTCAACAAGTATGTATGTGGAGGACTTATATAGATCAACTTAAACGGGCTATGCTCAGTGGGTAATAATAACAATATTATCATCTTGCTGCATATTATGGCATCTTAGGCATTGGGATAAATTTACGAGGCTTTCCGATTTCCATTACTCATCACAAAAGCTTTCTCTAGGTAGTAATGATGACGATGATAGTCATTGATTATGATGATGATAGTATTATCCTATAGGTATGCTGTATGGTAATCGTTTTTATGTAGCATTGAGAGGTATCAAGGATTGTCCTAATACTGATGATCTTGATAGAGCATTCAATGCCCTATCAACTAAAGGCTTTATTAACTACTTTGGTATGCAACGTTTTGGTAATAACAATGATAATACTATTATCATATCTACAGACTATTTATAGGTACACAGTTAACCAGGACTTATCAGATAGGACAGGCTATGATTGCTGGTCATTGGCAAAAGGCTGTTAGGCTTATAATGGGAGAATCCAACGATAAGGCATTATTACAACATGATGAAGGTATACGACATATGTACTGATAATGCTATAGGGTTTGTATAATGTTCAGAAGTTGATCATGCTACAATAATGAATGATGATGAGAATACTCATACTGATATGTCGATGGATGCAGCAAGGAGGGCATACCTTATCGATAATGATCCTGTTAAATCTCTTAAGCTCATGCCTAGGATGATGCATATTGAGAGGAAGATAATGACCTTATTAGCTAAAGGTAAGTAGATGATCTATAGTGGTAGTAGTAATGCCTATATCTAGATCCCAATGGTTATTTAGCTGCATTACAGCAATTACCTACACCCACCTTATCCTTGTATGTACACTCTGTAATACTATACCCTCATACTACTACTACTACAGGAAGAACCAATATCAGTTACAATCCTTCATATGGAATCATGCAGTGAGTCACAGGATATCTACCTATGGCCCAACCATTGTGGTAGGGGATATTGTATTATCAATACAACAACAACAACACAAGAAGGAGAGGATATAGAAACTGATGAGTACATAGGAAGGGCAGCAGAGTTACATATATTGATGATGTTTGTATATGTAGACCTCATTCTAGTTATGATGATAATACCACTACTACTGAAGATGGTTTGGACAGATCTCATGATGATGATGATAGTGAAAACTGTGGTGAGCAGCAGCATAGCAAGGAAGAGAGGGAAGTAAGGGGCGATAGAGGTATGATTATCATTACTATCATTATCATTAGGTTGTGCATATAACGTGTGATAATATATCATCATATAGCATATATGATGTAGTCTTACCTCTTCCTGGGGATAATACACAATACCCAATAAATATGAATCAATGGTGAGTACTACTACTAGTATGGTAGATGTGTAAGACATGTGGTATTAGGTACGAGGATTTTACCATGAAGGAATTGGGTTTATCATTACAGGACTTGAAGTCGTGTAGAAGTAGTGGTGGTGTCTTCAACTTACCTGGATCCTATAGGAATATCCTTGAAAAGGCAGAGGATGTTGAATATGAACTTATACAACCAGAAATGGCACTCAATAGAGTAATCGATGTATAGTACTACTTATGAATATCATAATCATTATATAGACATTAATACCGACTGATATCGATAATATCACTAAGAGGGATTATACTGAAGAAAAGTTGAATGGCGATAAGGATAAGGCAGTATTAGAAGGTACATACAGTATTGTATTCAAGACTACTCTTAAATCTGGTAATAACGAGCATGATAATAATATAGTATTATCAACATGATCATTATTCCTAGGTACATACTTGACAATGGCATTACGTGAGTTGACCCGACAGGACACTTCACGTAACTCTATGCAGATTAGTGATTCTATTATACAGACTAACAACAAATGATCATCATTAGTGCTACTGTACTCCATTTACCAACAATAACAACAACATCCAACGATAATACTCTTTCCATCTATTCATTGAATATCGTTATACCACTCCTCATTGAAATACAGTGTGATCCTGTTGTACAGCAGTACTATGGCTGATACCACTACCAATCAGACTACTGATGTTGATGAGGTGAATCGCGATAAATTCGAGACTGGGCCTTTAAGTCTTCTTACGAAGGCATGTGAAGAGAACAGTCAGGTAGTAGTAGAAGTAGCTGCTAGATTACCACTTATTGTTCTATCTACGCCGCTTTCGCTGTTTATAGGTACTCATCAATTGCCGTAATAACAGGAAGATCTTGGGTAGGGTGAAGGCATTTGATAGGCACTTCAATATGGTATTAGAGAATGTAATACTCAACAATTATTAATCCAGCCTTTATAATAACTAAATAGGTACGGGAGTTGTGGACAGAAGTACCCAAAGGTGGATCTAATAAGAAGCCTGTTAACAAGGATAGGTAATAGTACAATGATGATGATTGGTAGGATACTAGTTATTATACTTATACTAGGTTTGTAAGTAAGATGTTCCTTAGAGGTGATTCAGTTATCATGGTACTACGTAATCCTAAAGCCAAACAGTAATATACTGACGATGATTATGATGATGACTATTGGGGTAGTAGTATGCAGTATTAATAGTAGTAGGAGACAAATGAGGAAGCTGCTGTACCACTACTACTACCATTGGTGTTGATCATAATACTATTACTCTCATATCATCATCCTAGCGAGAGTATTAGTCTCTATCGTATCATTTTCGTATTGAGTAATTGTCAATTATAAGGTCCTATATTGATAGGTAGTTGAATATTACCTACTTTGCTTGTTAACCTACTCTAGTATTAGTAGTATTCTTGTGTGTAAATAGTGCTGCTACCATGTAATAGTGTCATCATTATACGGGATGATAATATTGGGTATTGCTGAGAAGAGGTATAAGTATCGATATTAATGTCTATGAACCTACAAAAACAGATAAGGGATAACGGTACAGATATACAGGAATACTTGAAGGAGCTCAACAAGTGGACTAGAGATCTCAAGCAACAGAGCAGCAGCAATATAGTGAGTGATAATACATCGAAAGAGAGGGAGAAGAAGATAGATGATGATGATGGTGATATATGTAGTACTACACTAATGATGATTACTCGTCTTAGGTAAGGTAGATGTGTTATTAAGGAATGAGGAAGTGATGCAAAAAGGACAACTATCTAGGGATAATGCTAAGGATATGTAGTTTAGGAATACTAGCAATATTCATGATGAATATTATAGGAAATCCTATTATGAAGCATGGGAGAAGTTGAATGTTGATGATTATGATAAAGATGGGTATGAATGCAAGAAGGCTATCATCGATGCTACCAACCATGAGCATTATGATGATGATCACTCGTCGCCTATGATACCTTATAAAATAATAACTAGTACTGCACCACAGAAACAGAAAGTAAATATACGTAAGGTTGCCGGAAGGAGGAGTAAATTAGAATATGCTCTCGAAGCAAAGGAGAGAGGGAATGCCTTTTATAAGAAAGGGTAATATGATGATAATAATACATTACAACTGTAGTTATTTCAGTCAACATAAATCAGCCCTTAGTGAGTATCGACTAGGTCTAACTTATCTTATTGATAATATTAAAGATGATGATGAGAAAAAGAGTTGATGGTAACTTTATACAATAACATATCAGCTGTATATTGTAAACTAAGTGAATATCCACAGGCTCTTAAGGCTGCTAATGATGTAATAATAGGCATTAATAATAAATCATTGAGTAGTACCTGTTAGCAGGCATTACAGTTAGACATGACCTCATCAAAGTCATTCTATAGGAGGGGGTATGCTCTTACTAAGATGAAGCGATGGCGTTTAGCTAAACGTGACTTTGACAAGTCTATGGAGTACAGGAATGAGTATGATAATAATGAGGAAAGAGAGTTAGCTGGTACTACTCATTTTAAGGATATTAGAGAGGTATTATTACTCGTTATCTTGATAGTTCATATTATTACACGTAGTTTGTGAATCGTCAAGTTGAAGGGCAAAGACTACTAGAGAGGGACGAGGCTATTAGGATCATCACTAATACACAACGAAAGGAACATGTTGGGAAACTTGTTAAAATATTCGTAAAGGACGTAACCAACAAGGAAGGGTCTGAGGTCAACAGAGTAGACAAAAGTATGGTGATCGATAATGATGAATCATCATTATCATGGAAGGATGATTATGATTATAATGTTCGTTGTGAATCTTCGGTTATGGATCGGAAGACCGATACTACATACATCCCAAAAGCTGTGAGGATTCGTAATGCCATCATTAGTGGGCATAAGAAAGATCATCATCATAAGGATGCACTGAAGAAGGCGGCATTTGGAGTGTCGTATTATCCATGATCATCATGATTAGGCCCAATGTTGTGTTATTAGTATTATTATCAAGCAGGACGATCCCATTACGCAATAGTATTGTCATTTAATCATGTAACAGTGATAACTCTCTTACTTGTCTTTAGCTGAATCACTACTACAGCAATAGAAAGTATTACATTTAGGAGTTGTCTGCAGTTGACGACGTTGGTTTTTATTAATATTGCCTATTACTACTTGGTGGTAGGTAACCATGTCCATTACCAGTATACTACATGGTATTCTCATCCAACTATTACAATAAGTGAAATATTAGTACTAAAGCACATATTAGTACTCAAGTTTTGAGTACATAAAGCTGACTATTTAAATCCTTGTTAGCAGCATCATACTAGTGTAAATAATACCACTGATTCAGTAGCACTGAACAGTATACCATCTATTGGGTATATCTTATCTCTAATGATCTAATATTCCAGGCTGAGCAGCCTGTATTCCCTCTATATGGTATTGTAATCACTACTAGTTATTGGTAAATGAATGGTACTACTCTGTACCATTATCGAGGACTATAGAAAGCATAGTGATGTATTTGTAGAGTATGTGCATGTATCATCTTATCAGTCGCCTCTATATCTATTCCATATCAACCTCCCTCTCTACTGTTAGCCCCGTATAGGTTACCTATCTATTACTATACAGTATAATAAGCATCAACACAGTCCTAGTGCCCCTCGCCCCTCTATCCCATGTTGAGAGTAGCATCGATGACGACGCAAGATAATTACGAATCGATTAAAATGGCGTGCGCTAAACTTATCACCGCCGTTGGGGAACCCCACGTATCTTGAGGGTCGTAGTAATAGTAGATATGTTTTCCACACCCTCATCATCATCTACCGATTTTCTACTACCACCAGCGGTGGACCCATTATCATATCCATCTGAACCAGAATGCCAATTATTTCCGGGATACTTTGGTTATTACGTACAACTTGGTAATAATAATAATATTAATATGTACATCTGTTATTGTTGTTCAGCTCTATTTAGTATATGTGGACTATCATTAATATTGAAGAAGTATAAGGAGGGTAATAGTGTTAGGACTTGGTGGGAGTTCTTATTAGATAGTTCTAAACAAGGGATAGGATCATCATGGATACATTGTCTCAATCTAATATTTGCTACCAGATTACATGTAATAATAATCATGTTAATGGTAGAATGATGATACACTCTTTAGGAGGAGACTGGTGGTGATCCATGTGATTGGTATTGGATTAATATAATGGTAGATGTACTCCTTGGTACGGGTATTAATTACATACTACTTAAACTCATAACGTAATAATAATACAATATAATACTCCAATATCGTAGTACTGCTTTAGGCATTTTATCATACCATTATTATTTGGTGAGGATATAGGAAATAGTTTTGTATTCGGAGAGTATGGTAATGATATCCATAATGGTGGACAATGGCAGACTAAAGGGACTAAGTGGAGTAATTATTTTAAACAATTGGTAGTATTAGTAATCCACTTATTATAATTATTACTTTTATGTTAGATACTATGGTTATGTATAGTTAGTATCATGAAATGTATTATGTTATGTATAATGCTTCAATTGCAAACGACAATGTTATCTCTTACTGCTGATATATTACATCCCTTACGTCACCACAGGTAGTAGTAGTAGTAGTAGTAGTAGTAGTAGTAGTAGTAGTAGTAGTAGTAGTAGTAGTAGTAGTAGTAGTAGTAGTAGTAGTAGTAGTAGTAGTAGTAGTAGTAGTGTCAATGATGATGTCAGTGATGCCTGTGTATTGTATAATACGATCGTCTTCTTAGGTTACTCAAGTTGATATTCGTTATGATAGTTACCCCAGTAATTATGAATATATTACAGTTTTGGGTAACTGATAATTTCATACGTCGACATAATCCACATAGTAAAAACGAAGAACATCCACAAGGAGAGCCTTTATTAGTGAACAATACATAATGATTAATCATTATTAGTTGATGTACTGAGTAATAATATCTCAATGTTGCGTTAGTCTATCATCAGCATGAACAACAGCAAGGAGAGGAGGGATATCATTATCATGTCATTGTCTGTATCATCATCATCATCATCATCAGTAGAGCTTGAACGATTAATAATAGTAATAATATGATACTAGCAATATGAAATCTAATGATGTCCATTAACCTTATCATATTAACGGTAGCAGTGTTGTTATTTATATTACACCGTATAACAGAGTGTTGGATCAATGTTGCGGAATGTTATCCTACTTCATCTTTTTTTCCTTCTCTTCAGCATGACGGCTATATTGGTATCGTACTATACTACAGTAGTAATAGTAGGATTCGATGTATGAGCCTATATACTGGTTTAGGAAGGGTTTCATTACTTGCTTACATACTACCATCATCATCATCAACAACAACAACAACAAGAACCTCCTCAAACTATCGTGTTGTATTATGTCAATACATCTTATTATCTCATATGCCTTTGGATACATAATAAGCTGTTCATTGATATACTAAATTAATCGTTATCAGTATACCATGTTGTTATAATGAACCCTAGTCCTCATCATCATCATACCACTCCTCCTTCTACTCATCATCATCATACCCTATCGTATATAACAGGGCCAACAGGGGATGTCATATCCCGAGGTAGTAATATCACGTTATTATTATTACTATTACCTCATGATAATGATGATTGTGATTGATAGATGAGAGCCTGGAGAGAGATGCTGATGCTCATAATGATGATACATTCGGTGATGATTATATTAACAATACCATCACTCAAATGGACGATAATAATAATAATAATGACTATCCTATAATGTCCTCCTATATTCATGACATCAATAAAGGATCCATATTCACGAGGGTACACTATGTGTAGTGGATGATCATGCTTATGGTATTTAGTAGTAGGATGAGGATGAGGAGGAGGAGAAGGATCAAGCCAACGAAGACGAGGAGGACGGCGTTGGAAGCAGGCATCATTATCATTACCAGACGGGTTTAAGAATGTCCCCTATAGTAGGATCTAGTCATACTACTCAAACAAGTAGTAGTAGCATTGAATACTCTTGTATACTCCTATATTATCGCTATAGTGAGCACCCATCAACGTTTAGATAATGATGGATTAATGATGATGACGATGATGATGCATGGCCCACCGGGTATAATATTACCATCCCCTCCTCCTACTCCCGCTCCCCTCCTCCTCCTCCTCCTGGTATAGTAAGAAGGTCTTCTACCGGGGGTGGTCTTGTCGCAGACGTCGTATCCAATCAACATATCACTCCACATCATACCACTCCTTCAGAACATCATCATTATCCTATACGGTAAAGAGTATCATCTTCATCATTACTATAGATAGTCATACTATTAATAGACCTCCTCCTGGTATACATCTCCCACAACAACAACAACAACATCACGATGTTACACCATCAGCTGTAGTATTACCTTCTACCATTCCTCCATTACTGGGGAGAGGTTATGATAATGATGATAATAAGATGAAGCAGAAGCAGCAGAGTGGAGTTCCACAGAGGTATTAAGTTTATTGATAATCACTAGTTATTAGGTTGGAGCTCATGATTATTAGGTTTGGTCCTCCTGGTATGGAGTTAGCTTACTTGAGAGGAAATGTAATCGAGTAACCCTAAACTCTATTATTGTGTATCATTATTATTATCATCATTAGACTACTACTAATACATCATCATCATCATCAACTGCCTCCCGATATGATGGTACATCTTCTACTGATACTCATCATGGATCTCTGATGAGGAAAGGAAGAGGCTATCCAATACCATTGACATCTTATCATAGGAAGAAGCTTATTGCTACTACTACCACTGCTGCTGCTGCTGCGGTCGATGGTCTGAATACTAGGAGTACTGCTGATATTATGCAGCCAGCATATGGTCAATACTCCTCCTCCTCCTCCTCCTCCTCATCATCATCGTCGTGGTCGAGTATGGTTATTGGGAATAGATGGATGACTGATGATGAGAAGGATATGGTGATGAAGTCACAATTGAATCAAATGGTATGATCAATGATTAATATTATACAGTGTTGTTAAACAATGATGATGATGATGTTCGTTAATAGGCACAATTGAATACAGGGGTACAGGACAGAAAGGGAAAGTTCATATTCAACAATAACAACAACAATAAGAACAGTAGTAGTGGTAGTACAATAATGATGATGATGGAAGGAGGAGGAGTAGGAGGAGGTAAAGAATACTGCTCAGACGACTATACTACTCTACTGTAGTAGTATGTTATTATTACTCGTAGATGCTACTCCTAATGATGAGATGTTGTTGTCCAATCCTTGTACTAGATTCCTAGGCAATAAAGTATATTCTAGTATACAACATCCAAGGTGAGGAGGAGCTATACTATGACTATACTCGTCATTATCATTGATACCATTGCTTAGGCGTAATCTTACTCTTACATCCTCTCGTAAGGAAACCAGCAACAACAACAACAACAAGAGTAGTGATCATACATATAATAATAATGATGATGATCCTCGGAAGATAATAGAAGATGGATTATTACAAATGATGGTATTATTATTATTAGGACTATTATGATAAGAGTGTATTGTTTTAGGACATAGATATATGTGATAATAATCTATCTGTATTACATCCAATGGCTATTGATCGTATTGTGCATACTCTTGATACACGGTAATAATGCTAGTAGATGCTCATAGGATTATAATACATGCCATACTTTGGTGCTAATGCTCGTAGTCTTATTATTATTATTATGTTCATCACATCATCATCATCATTCACTTAGGGTTCATTTACTACACAATATTATACAAGAGTTATTACGCTTTAGTGGAGGTAAGGAGACAGCAGTAGCAGCATTGGTAGGGTATAGGAAAGGGAGGTAATCAAAAAGTCAAACTTGGATCATAAACAATATAGATTTATCATTAAACATATCTTCATATTCTTTTTTCGAATCTGGTTCCCCTTCGCCTTTCTCTTCCTTCTCCTCTTAATAATACTCGAAGGAGATATGGTGGTTGTTGTTGTTGTTACTGCTCATCCACGGCTATCTTGTAGATTACTCATACAACGGCTATGCACGGCTCTACAGTATGTATTACTACCACCACATGATGATGATGCTCAATGCTCTTGCTCCTCGAGTGATGCTGGTAATGATGTATTGAATAATGATAATACCAATAGTCATCATCATGACCACCATCATCATGGTGTTGGTGATTCGATGATGATCATGAGAGGAAGGGGGAGGACTCTATCTTTATTACAAAACAAGGATGAAGGTACAATACCGGAGTAAACAATGAATCCAGTCTGCTGCTGATTTTCGTTATACAGTTACTCATCGACAAGAACATCGTATACAAACACTGTTATCAACTATAGAAGGTAATGGAAGATTATCTTGTGCATATTGTCGTCATGGTCAAAGGGATCTTTATAGATACCATACGATGGGAACATCTAACTTACCCTTGCTATAACATGCTCACTATTCTTTCATCAATGCTTCATTGTATAACTCGACAAGAAGTAGTACCAGTTAATGATGATGGTGAATGGGGAGATATGTTACACACTTTAGAACGTTCGAATATTATAATAGGCTCCATCTCCTCTTCCTCCTCCTCCTTTACTAAGTAGTGTATAGTCCACCAGATCATGGAGGATGATGATGATTATGAGCATTACTCTATTATCATTACTAGTTATTATCAATGTAATCTATTATCGATGATCTCTGATGTCGTTGAATAATGATGGTAATAATAACAACCATATTATAGTTATTCAAAACCATCCGCATCATCATCATCATTATCATCATCTCATTGCCCACAGTTTACAGTTCGAAAGCATATCGTGTTGTTGTTGTTAGTCCATTAGTGCATTACTAATAGTATCTCCCATCCTTTCGGAGAATGGTACCCTCCATGGCCACTATCATTAGGAGGAGGACCTCCACCATAATACAATACATTATGATGATGATGATGATGATGATGATGATGATGATGGTGTTGAAGGTCATCATCAAGCAACAATAGCCCCCAATGCTATCCATAGCATCCTACCTTGGTTACCTATATAGGTAACCAAGGAATGCTATGGGAGAATAACTGCATTCTCAACAAGGTGTCAGCAGTGTTGTCTCTGTAGTCGACATTCTTCCACCATCTTCAGAACCGTCCTATAACAACATAAGGCTCCTCCTGGATTAGGAGGCATCATCACTGATGATAGTGTAACCGGCGTAGACAGGCGTGCCCTGCAAATTGTGATATTATGATCTTTATCATCATTATCACCGTGACTATGCATCGGTTACTATCTCGCTAAGAGCGATTCCCTCTATCTGAGGGGAATACTGCAGCAGCAGGTGGCTCATGGAAGCTGCTGTAGTCAACAATGGGATCCTACCAGCAGCCGTATATCAAGGAATCGATAGTAATGAAGGATCATCCTCCTCCTCTTCATTGTTGTTATTGTAGATGATCTCATCACGATCATTATCATTACTCGGATCATGGTATCCACGATATCAACTAGTACTCGATAGATAATGCGTAGTAGGAAGACGAATGAGGCCTCTTATTATCAGATTAATGTTGGCTCTATCTTAATTCATATAGCTCGGACTCTTAACCCTAACAACAACATCATGGTGGTAGTAGTATTTTCATAATGTCTCCCAAAGTTAGGAGTAATATGATGAGTACTAAGCCCACTATGTATGCTATTATTTACTGTTCTCACCCATACCATATGCCGATACTCTACATATCATATGATCATGTTGATCGTATGAGTGGCAATGGGATGCACTACTATCGTCGTCGAGCTCAGGAATAAACTAGAGATTGTATGAGTATACCCACTTAGTGATAATTACTACTAACATGGGGTATAAGAATCCTGATCATACCCTCTCTCTCCCTCTTCCTAATATTCATTATCAAGAGTATCCCTACTGGAAGAGCATCTAGGCAGGCCTTATTAGTCGTGATATAGATGAGGGAATGAGTAAGTATTCAACAGGGCCATGACCACCGAGACTAACTACCTTCTGGCATTATCATCATCATACGAATGTAGTTCACTAACGCTAACAGTAATACTCTATCGGAAATATGATAATAAAGGTACTGTATGAGCAGACTATTCTGAGACGAACATTTGTAATCAATCTCAGAGTTATTAAGGCTCGAGAAGTAAAGAGCTTTTAGCTCATACCAAGCTCCCCCCCCCTGTACCGATAATGATGATATAGACTATAGAAGTTTATGCAGGAGGATATGACAAATATTCAATGACTATTGTCTTCCAAGTTAGTCGAAATGTGATCAGTTAGATGTCTTGTAAGTAGAGGGAAACACAGAGATAAGAGTAGAGTTGTGCGAGCTGTGGTCCATGATGATATGGAGTGCTAGCACGGGTGATGGGAATGTGTAGTTGTAGCAAATAAGAATAGTAAGCTTCTTTATACCGTAAGGAGCAGCAGCATTGAAGATCTCTATAAAGGCTGATCCCACACTCTAGCTGCCTACGAATAAGGCTGCTGATCCGGTAGAGGTAATGGGGATCCAAGTACTAAAACCTGTTGGCTGATGATGATGATGATCACATCATCTCAGCTTTGAAGTCAGTCCTGGTCTCTCAATGAGACAATGCCTATTGCTATCTTAATCTCATCAGAAATATCTGAAGCATGTTCCTATAATGGTTAATAAGTATGATGAAGTTCTCTCCTATACAACAACTCTACAGTTACTGGAGGAGCTGGCGATATATTCAATTCATGAGGAGGAGGAGGAAGATGGTAACGTAGGTAACACGTGTATGCGGGAGGGACTATGAATAGTTGTGGGCAACAAAAGGATCAATTACTAGTTTCTCATATACCACGTACCCCGTAATAATGTGTGTCCGTTGTGTTAGTTCCTAGTTCGGAGTTTAAAGAAGACCTTTCTTTGTAGACCATTGGGTGATATAACACAAACTAGTATGAAGTATTCTATTTCTTTAAGCCAGTTTTGTACGTACTGGAGAATTAGCACCCTCGGCAGATATCAACGGATAGCTAGGACACTATCGATCCATACAGTGTAGTGCTTCAGATTTTTGTTTTAGTACTCGTATGTTATCATCGTGTAAGTACTTTTTATATTCTACAAGACGATATTCTATTGCTATCGGCTGTATGCGGATTCCAATTCGGAAGGGCTCATAAAGACCAGTTCGTGATGATTCTCAAATATCCATTATGCAGGTAACCACGATCATGACCACGAGTATAAGAGTAGCATAAGAGTGTTATTATTACTATTATCCTCCCTTTTCTAACGTTAGACCATTAGAGTTAATTTAAGTTGAGATGTATTATAATGATTGCAATACTACCAAGCCCGCCATCATGTCTTCTTCTCCTCGTCAATACCATACCTTTAACAATCCGTATATTAGTTGTGGTTTTGATCTATTAAGTATTGCAAACATCTATCGTGGACGTAGACCTCTCACTCCCCTCTCTTATATCACAATAACAATGTGACTGTCTGTCTTCACTTCATCCATACCTCCCTACCACAGGGATGGCGGCCCATTAACGCTATATTAGTCCTCCACACAATACGTTCATGTTCTGTCCCTTTTGTGGGCATCCTCGGAATATTAATCAGTATAGGAGTTAGACGATGTCGTCGAACAGCATATGTAGTATACGTCGATTTACTATATTGATCATATCGTATAGAAATTCTTACAACGTATGATTAATTATGGCGATATACAACGGTTCATGCTCCGGATGATGATGATGATCCCATGCTTTTGCTCATGTCCTCATTTGGTGTTGATTGTTGATATATTATCGTAATAGAGGTCTCCATCTTTATCTCCATTATAGTGAATATTGATGATGATACAAGAAAGAGCAAGATGATCGTAGTAAACCTCTTACCTCTGTTGATCAGATGACTAGTCATATCTGATTTCTCGTCGGTATTCATGTTGTTCCTAAGCCCACACAATAGCTGTCCCCAGTGCCGCAATAGCCGACATCTAGCAGTAGTCGTTAGCATACCTGTTTTATATGATAGTATTGGTTAAATATCAGTTCAAATAATAATACGTCGTGTTATTGTTATTCGTTGTATTATTCTTAGTTGTTGTTACATTCTTCCTTTTCTTCCCTGTTATAGTTCCTGGTTATTATTACCGGTGGAACATTGAAAAAGAAGGTATTTGGAACCTCTACTACATTATCGTTACTTGCAACAACCACAATGAAGTCATTATCATCACTTGTCGCCGTCAACGTGAAGGTTACTGATGCCGATAAGCCTCTAACATGGACTGATCCTAATGGCAATACATATCATTATTATGAGCATCCTATGATGAAGGCTACTATATTCGTATTACTACAAGAGATGTGTGAACGACTAGCATTCTATGGTCTAACTCCTAATCTACAGACCTTTCTTAAGATTAATTTGGGTTATACCGATTCTGCAGCCAATACATATATTGCCGACTTCCAGGCTATCATATATGTCACTCCATTAATAGCCGCTATACTCTCTGATACGTGGTTAGGCGTATATAATACTATCCTTATATTCTCTGTGGTATATACTATAGGGTTAGCACTATTCTGTGTAGCATCAGTTCCTAGTTTATGTCAACCATGGATGGTACATCTATCACTTATGGTACTCATTACATTAGGTAGTGGTGGTATTAAAAGTTGTGTAAATGTTATGGGTGCTCAACAATTCCATCCTGAGCTGCATAAAGCACTCATTACTAGGTTCTTTACATACTTCTATTCAAGTATTAATATTGGTGCATTAGTTGGTGGTATTGTTACTCCTATATTGGTCGAGGATGTGTCATTCTTTGTTGCATATCTCGTACCATTCTTCGCTTTCATCGTAGCAACAGCTGTCTTCCTATATGGTGGTATAATGGGTAGATTCGTTAAGCCTAAACCACAAGGTTCAGCTGTATTAGAGGTATGCAAGGTTATTGGGTGTGCTACTTATAAGCTATCCTTGGAGAAATGTAAAAAGTCTAATGGTGGACCATTTGAAGATCGTTTTATTGAGGATGCTAAGGAGATATTCCGTTTAATACCTCTATTCACCATTATCATACCCTTTACCATTGCTTATGATCAAATGACTACTGCATGGCTTACTCAAGCTGAGAAGATGAATCTTGATACATTTGGTTGGGATATGCCTGCAGCATTAATGCAGAATATCGATAGTGTTGCAATTATCGTTAATTCCCTCTTGATTGATGGTTTGCTTTATTCATGGCTCAGATCTAGAGGCAAGATGTGGTCTGTTCTTACACGTATGTGTGTTGGATCCTTGATGGGTGCTGCATCATTACTACTTTCTCTTGCTGCTGAATATGCTATAATGTATAGACCATTATATACGGTATCAGTATGGTGGCAAGTACCACAATTCTGGGTAATTGCAGCTGGTGAGATATTCCTTACATCAACATCATACGAAGTTGCATTTACATATTCACCAAGCCATCTTAAAGCAGTATCATCGGCGATCAACTTGCTGTTCTTCGCTATTGCCAATTTTATCGCTGGTGCCATATTTCAAGTATGTTCTCCCTGGATGCCTGATTTTACTCCATCAGATTATCCCAATTCTGTTATGTACTATGGTTCCCATTACGATTACTATTACCTTCTTTTGGCTGGTATATGTGTTGTTGGAGCTATCATGTGTTTAGCGCTTATGCCTTACTTCAACCGTGTTGATCGTGAAGCTAAGAAACGCCAAGCAGAAGAAGATGCGGAATTAGCAGTTGCGAAGTCCAAAAGTGACGATGAAGAAGAGAAAACAGATGATGTTAAGGATGAGGAAGCTCTTGCTGCAACTGATGATGAGTCTGTTGACGGTGTTACTAGTCAAAGCAGTGGAACTGGTAGCAGCAGTGGTAGAGGTAAGTGAGCACTTGATCATATTCACTGTCATTATTCTATTATCAGATGGACCACCGACGAGCGGCAATATTGATACAGATCGTCGTGGCAGCAGCCGTCTTTAATAATAGTAGCAGAAGATTATCTACTACTACTACTATTGTTAAAGGTTCATCAGTGGTGATGATAATGTATGCCTCACTTCGATGAATGTATGATGAGTCTTTGTTGTCTATTTTCCTCGAGTTCAACAATCATCCGATACTTCATTATGGCATGTATCATTATCCTTGCTGCTGGTCAACAATTTTAATACCTCTATTTCTGCGCTTGTTTTACTGTCATTGTTGATAATATCCCTACTGTCGATAACATTTCTACTACTTCTACTACTACTTTAGTGTGGCGGCTTTTCATGTATCCTTCTTTGTTGCCTTTCTATGCTTCTTCTGACCCTAGCTTTACTGTTCTGTTGTTGATGTTGATCCAACTTCTAGTAAAACTCTTCTTATCGTTCTGATGATAATAACGAAAATAGTGTAGATTGAGCAGTTTTACAGCCACATAATTACTGGCTGAATATAATCATAATTCTATCGATGATGAGCGGTTACTAAATCAATACTACTCTAACAGCTGTATTCTTCGTAGTATTCCGTCTTTGCCGTTGAAGAATTATGATAATCCTTATTATTATTGATGATAATACAGTCATTAGTCATGAGATTATGCTCGATACTAATGCTGTTGAGTAGGATCCGCAAGCAGATGACTCAGTAATATCCTTAGGATGCCTCCTCACTACTTGAGTGTATCCTATCAACATCATCGTCGCCAACATCATAATCTTTCTGTCTTCTTGTGTATCACATGATGATCAGTATCGATTATCGTTAGG